ACACACACACACACACACACACACACACACACACACACACACACACAGGCCCTTGAATCCATCTATTGCACAGATCAATTCAGTCATTATAAAAAAAAAATAATAAAAATTTAAGTAAAATGTGAAATAAATTAAAACGATTGCACAAAAATGCAACCAACATAAAATAAAGTGTCAATGTACTGAACAAAACAATAGCGTCAATGTGAAAAAAAAAAGTATATTGTGAATAAAACAGAAAACAGACCAACGCGCACATTCAAACACAAAGGTGTGTACATTCAAACCAGTCGTCACAGTGTGAGCACTAAAACATCATCATGTTTGTGCCGTCACATGAAAACCACCGTCAGCTTGGCACTGCATAGGTAAAAGGTAAAGCAGTGCTTTGCTTTAAGAGCTGTGATTGGAGCGAGAAACAAACCAAATGAGGCTAAAACCTGAAGGGGAAAGCTCTGAACTTTGTCAGTACTGTGGCTCGGGATGATGGAGATGTTCAAGTTGCGTGGACAACCTCTGCGTCACAGGAGGCCGAGCATCAGCAGTTCACCAACCTGCTTTGTGCTGGTGTGCATCCAGTTCAGAGGGAGGGGTACCGCTCGTCAGAATGATGGGACAAAATAAGCACAGTTAAAGACCTGAAGCCTTGCGCAGGATCAGACGTGTGAATTTTAACACAATGAGATGCTTTCACGACAGGATGTGGGAAGTCTTTAGCTCTTTCGTTGGCTCTAGTTAGCAGCCGGGACACTGTCCTTCTTTCTACGTCTCCAGGTGTTGCAGTTGTACTGCTGCTGGTTTCTGAAACCTGACGCCATGTGAGGACTCGGGGGAACCAACCTGTGCTGGGGACTAAAGCTGCCCGTGAGGTTATAGGCAGCTTGGTTCTGCTTGAAGCCGGATTTCTGCAGCTCTATGGAGCCGTGGGACCTGGACCTCATGGTGTAGGTGTAAGTGTGCTGCCCTCCTACCTGCGGGTGGTGGAGGGGGCTGAGGAGGGGGCTCATGGGCTTGGAGTGATGGGGAACTTGTGTTGTGTGTCGGTGCACGGTGCTGATGGAAGGAGGGTTCTCGTGGTAGAACTGACAATCAGACAGAGCGGCGATGGGGACATTTTCTGGAAGAGACAGCTGTAGATAGAAGAAACAAACAAAAACAAAAACAAAAAAAAGAAGCTGTGAGAATCCAGACAAACTATTCGTCTCACACAATATATTTAGCAGAAAACTACTATGAACTAGAGAAACTCAGAATGCTGAATGACTTGTGAAATTTGCTCGAGTGGCTGAAATCTATTAGAAAGCTAAAAGTAGAAAACAAAGTTCATGCTCAATCATCCAGGTATCAAATCCAATAATTCTCAGTCAGGTCATCTGGACAGTTTCTTTTTTTTATAGAAAGTAGTCAAAAAGTACCAGCTAGAAGCTAAACATGGCAAAATGCTAGCCAAAAGTAGTAAAACTAGCTAAAAGCGGCAGAATGACAACTAAAAGTCTCAAAAGGCTAATCAAAAAGTAGCAGTAGCTAAAAGCTACATAATATGACAAAATAGAGCAAGTATGCTGAGGCAGGTTTTAATGAGGACAATATTTACGAAGGATTGAAGAGATTTCAGTGTAATTCATCTGGGAAAATTTAAATAAAGATAAATATTTTTGACAAATATGAAAGCTACAGAAACAAAGTCATAGCACCCAGCTCTTGAATGAGCTGAACGTTCTGATGTTTTAATGGCTAAAACAGCAGAAGCAGTTTGACTAAAAACAATCATAACAAAAAAAAAAAAAAAAAAAAAAGGACAACAGTGTGAATTCTGAGTGAGCAAATGTTTGTCACTTTAAGGCAGCAACCCCCTTCAGTCTTGACCTCACTCAGTTTGATTCTGATCACTCTGAGGAGCTGGCTCTTAGTCTGTTTCGCCATTCTGACGTCATTCAAAAAGGTATCCACAACAGGTAAGATATTAGTCGCTCATAATCCCACCTTAAAGGCAGTGAGAACCCCTTGTGGTCTAACCTGATGCACTGAGTGGATAAAGTTTGCTGATTGTCTGACTCCCAGGTCAGCCGCCATCTGGATCATCGAATGAATCGAAGCCAAGGTCAGAGGGTAGAGCTGGATAGCAGCACTGTTGTTTTGTGGAGAATCAGACTCCTGGAAAACATGTAGGAAAAAAAAAACTATTAAACTCTTCATCAGCACCTAAGATGACGTTTCTTGTCACAACAGAGCAGATCCACCATTATGAAGGTTTTACTCGTGTAAAATTGTAAGGAACAAATAAATACTGTGGTCTTACAGCGTCGCTTCCAGAGGAGAGTGAGCATGCAGAAGACGATGAAGAATGATGCTGAGGACTGGGAGGAAAGACTGGAGAAGGTGAGGGGGAGTCAGCGCTGAGTGGAGAGGAAGAGTCCCTTTGATCCCCACCTACCATCATCCGGGCCAGATCCTGCTCGCAGGCCTCTACATCTAAAAGCACACAGAAGATGTCCACTGAGAAAAGTCTGCAGGAGCTGAGCCGGTCACAGACTCATCACAACAGAAAGAACATTTGGGCCAAAAGAGGAGCAGTAACTCACCTTGGTTTTCCAGCTTGGCACACTGCTTAGCCCCCCACTTCTTGATTGTCCATTCTCTGTAAGCCAGCACCTCAGGGCTGACTCGGATGATTCGAACTAAAGTGCTGAAACAAATCAAAAACTATAAGAAAAGACTATTTGCTTCCAGAAAACCTCAAGTAACTTCATTTGTGAGCAAGAAAAAAAACAAAAACCTGTCATAGTCTTTGTTCGGGTAAGAGCGAGCGTACACACTGTGGCTCAGCACCATGTAGGCAAAGTCAAAGACTTGTTTGACTTGTAGGACTCCATATGAACTCCTGCCCACATCATTATCTGAGAAAAAACAGAATTGACCAGATCATCTGTAGACAAAACACTGTGTGGGCGTACAGCAGCCCAGTGCTGACCTGCTCTCGTGCAGAGTGCAATTAAAAAGAAACTCAAGATTAAAATGATTACAAAGGTCACTAATGATTAGCTTCACTTGTTCACACACTTGACATAATGGCAGCTACTCCTACCAGAATGAACGGCCCTGCTGAACTACAAGAACAGTACCGTAATTTCAGGACTATTGAGCGCACCAGAATATAAAGTCGTGCCCACTAAAAAAAAAATCAAATAAATAAATTGTACATATATAAGCCGCACTTGTTGATAAGCCGCGGGTGTCCACGTTGTAACGAGATACTTACACAGAAAGATTTTTCAAACTTAAATATGTACTGGGAACCTACACAAATACTGACAGTAAATGTTTTTCCCCCCTCTGAACAGTGTCTGTAACAAAAAAAAAAAAAACAGTAGCATACAAGGAAGTCCCTGAACGCCATCTTCATCTTCCACCCGCACAAGCTTTTGCTGTCCTCCTACAGACTTTAGCAAAAGTTGCTCCGCACAGGCAAGGAGTCCCCCCACCTCATGCTCTGCGCTTGCAGAATTTTACACAACCTCTCTCCGTTTCATTGGTCCACTGTGGCCTGTTTGGCAATTTCATTGGGCAGATTTTTTTTAAACCTTTATTTATACTGGTAGTTTCAGAGTCACGAGGACCCACCCTGCAAGAGACGTGTATGTGAGCGCCCGGGTGTGATGATGCTAAATGTTTTGGTGGCATGAAGCTCGTTAGTTCATCTCCCCCCAAAAATAAAAATAAATCCATAAATTAGCCGCAGCATTACATAAGCCGCAGTGTTGAAAGCATGTGAAAAAAGTAGCGGCTTATAGTTCGGAAATTACGGTAAGTTTTTGCACCTTTTTGAAGCAGAATTTAATTTTCCCCATCTTCCATTTGACTGCACCAACAACAAACTGGAGGTTTTCTTCTTCATGTGCAACATCAACTAATCTGAGGAGGGATCTGAACTCAGGAAACTTATTCATAGATTCATAATAAACCGGACCTGGCTGGACTGGATCCTCTATGCAGAGCATGGACGGCCTGTTTCCGGTCCCCATGGCTTTGAGCACATCGTCCTTGGACAGGTAGGCTCCTTCGTTTCTCACACGGATGCCCGTCTTCGCGTAGTTGAAATCGCGGCCGTAGAGCTCGAAGAACTCGATGAGGAGGATGCCCAGGTTGATGTTGGACCGCCGCGTGTCGATCCGAGGGTGTAGCTGAGACAAGGCAGGAAGGAAGAAAGTCCGAGAGCAAATCCAGTTTGAAACAATCTGTTCTGATGGACAGCACAACTCAACAGTGAAAAACATCAGTATTAGTCACTAATTATTTAGGGAAATATATTTTTCCTCAGACCAAAATTAGACTCAAAGAACTATTAAAATAAATTAATACCTACAATTAAGGGTTCTATTTTTTATTATTAAGCCACACATGACCGAGTTTTTACAAGTGAATCTGTCAGAGTATGAATTAGAAATGCTTCACAATTAAAAACTGCTTTAGAATTTCATTAAGGTGCATATAATTAACAAACACAGATTGTGTCCTGTTGCATGCTCAATAATCCAGGTAGAACAATTCTACAAGGTTGAATCAGGTCCTCTGGATGGATTCTTCTTTGATGAAACTTTTCGTCTTTTATCCAAAAGACGCTGCAGTAAACTCAGTCTTATAAATAGCAACTTTTCGCAGTGGATCAACCAGGTTGCTGTTGACAACAAACTAGCTAGTCACATGTTAAGCTTAATAATGGATTGTTCGAGCCCTAACAATTGGTCGTTAGTACCGATGGATGCTTGATATTCAGAGGGGGCCGAGTGATGCTTGTAATAACAACATTGTAAGGGGGTGACAGTTGAACATGGAGACCCACCTGCCCCAGTTTAACGATGTGTGAAGAGAACCTGTCCATCTTTAAACAGGGCGGGGTTCCCCATGTTCAAATGTCACCCTCTTACAATGCTGTTATTGCAAGCATTTAAAATAAAATGCTAAATAAATACCAAAATAAACTACTACTTACTACTTGTACTACTATCCCTACTTCAGTTTTTCCCACTTATCGCGGGGCTTCAGGGTACGGATGCACCGCAATAAATGAGGGACTACTGTACTCATTAATTCAGCAAACAAAAATCCTATTATTGCTTCTGAAGTTGTGATTTTTTTTTTTAAACTAAACAATTTGATTAAATTTGTGAATTAACCCAAGATGTAAATGTCCCATCAGTGTTGTACGGTGGCTCTGTAGTGTTGGGCCACAAACATCATTTGAGAATAAGAGAAGCCGCAGTGACTCCTGGTGGTCGACTGCTTCAGACTCTTGTTTCAAGACGCCTCACATGAAAACTTTACAAACGTTGTCAAACATGTTTTTCACGTGGTGGTTAATGGAAGTTATTGTTACTCATGTTATTTTCTTTAGTTATAAATACTATCAGCACTCCTGCCTCAAAACATAAAAATACATGGATTGTTGGTTTAGCCAAGAATATTGAGCTGAAACTCAGTTTCCAGGATCACAAAACGCACTTCAGTTTGAAACGTTTTGTTTTCAGAGGGTCTATTTAAGTTATTTAAAGCAATCAAAGAGTCACATAGTGAACTGCAAAATACATTTTCTTTAAGACGGAATCTTTTGGACATTTCCAGGCTTTTTACTTGTTGTAGCATAGTTAGCATAAAAGTAGATTTCCCCAGCACCCTGAAGGAATAAAAGGCATTTTCTGTAAACAGGCTTTTGTGTTTGTTAGCTTAAAATATGCAACAAAATATATACATTTGCATTTTGGAGTCTTTAAGGTTCAGTCTAGTTTTGGAAACTCAACGACTTACCAGAAAAAAAAAAAAAAAAGTTTTGGCCAATATTAATCCAAAGATTTTAGATGTTTTTGTCCAAGATTTTTAATTTAGATTTCACTAAGTTTCATTGATAAGATGCAGGTTTTCATCAACTTATTTTCAAGTTTTTTTCTTTTCAGTTAGTGACATTGGGGGCCGCATTAAGATTTTTACAGGGCCATATTTGGCTCTCGGGCCGTATGTTGCCCATGTGTGGGCTAAATCATCATGTGAGAGAGACAAACGTTTAACAACACAGCCTGAGGATAATCCAGAAAATAAAATCAGACATGTAATTTGTCTTGATACTGTAACCAATTTAAAACTATATTAAAGCTAAAATATTAGCGACATTCTCTTAAAAAAAAAAATACAGGCCTATATTCTATTTAGTAGACGTTTATCAAACACTGACAAAGAATCTCAAAACCTGACTTCACTAGTGTTGATTCATTGACAATGTTTCATCATTTAATCGAACACATTTAACAAAAATAATTCATTTGACTTCTATTTTTCCACTGACCGGCTTGCATAAAGAGAAGAAATAAATGCTCATTAAGTTGAAAAGAGATGAACCTGAACACATGAAAGGCTCTGCTGTCGAGTTCAGCGTGTCGGTACCACACAGGCTGCAGATGATGTGCATTTTTCTTTGTATGTCTGGATTTGAAGAAAATCGTTACACTGCTAACATTAGATTACTAAGAAATTAATTCAAATGTTTGTCTCCATCTGGTTATGAGACAAATTTTAAATTTATATTTCAGCTGGTCAGTGAAGTGATTTGCACATTAATATGAAAGACATATTTGAATCTTCAAAGAACAGAGCTAAAAGTTGACAGATTTCTGACCTAAATTTTCTACAGTAAATCGGGTCTTAATTATGGCCTCAGTATTTTGAAACAGCATTATTTATTTTAAATTTATGGCATTACACTTTTCTCCAAATGCAAACTGGGACTATATGAATTATCAAAGTGACCATCAAATGACACAGAACAGCTAATTGAGCCTAAAGAAGAAAACCTGAATTAGAAGAATAATAAGTCATCACTGGAGTGCCTGTAGTTTCTGAACTGAGCTTTAGTTTGTTAACAAAATAACAGCCCTGCTGTGTATAACTTGCATGTACAACCCATGGTCTCCAGGTTAATATTGCATGAAAGTGAGCACCTGCAGGAAGCTGATGGCCATCAGGATAAGGCTGTAGGAGCTGATGCCTCCAGTAAAGACTTCATTGAGATCCCTCTGCAAGAGAAACTGCTTCAGAACGAAGATCAGGGGTGGAAGAACTGTGTACTTCTACAAAAAAAAAAAAAAAGAAGAAGAGAGAAGTGAACAACAAGCAAACAACACGGGGTTAATACCACTAAAGATATCTGAGGCTGACCTTTAGATAGCTCTTGATGAACTGTGCTGCTTTGACTGCAGTCTCTACATTAAAGCTGATGTCCACTTTCACCTTCGTTTCATGGTCGGCGAGTTTTATAATCGGCACCTGATGATAGAAATATTCAAAGTTCGTTAAGAAGATCACGCCAAACAACATTTGATGACTTCACAATCTTAAGAACATTTTAAAAATTGTTAAAAACAGCAGCTGCTGTTGACGCACCGTTGCTTTGTCGAGGACTTTGATGGGATAATTGCCGGCCACGTTGTGTTTTTTCAGGGCCTGCTCAAGTTCCTGCAGAGGAGGATGGTCCCAGTTTCCAAACACCACCAGATCAATGTCACTGGAGACAGAAAAAAAATTGTATTTTTTCCTCCTTTTAAGAGCAGTTTACAACCTGGGTACATTATGGGTCCATCCCTTTTCAATCAGCTGGGCTACAACTCAGCTAGAGTTGATGACAAGCAGAAAGGAGGAGTTTCTCTCTTGAATGGAAGGAAGAGGGGGCACCATCAACAACTGACAAATTGTCAGAGCAATCATAGTTTACCGTGTCATTACCGGCTGACAATATGAAAGTAAAGTATGATGCACAGCTGCAGAAAGAAAATCTCTGCAGAAAGCGGTGAAGGCTGCACAGCAGACAGACTCCCCACCATTGCAGACATCTACAACTTCAGATGCAGGAAGAGGGCCACTTGCATCATGAAAGACCCCACTCACCCAGCACACACACTTTTTGCCCCACTCCCTTCAAGCAGAAGGTTGTGGTGCATTAAGTGTAGAATCACTACACTTCTACACTGAAGTTGTTGAGACTCATAAATCACTAACCAGGATAATCACTGTGGGGAAAAAAAAAAAAAATCACTGTAATGCCACTTTGATTGTTATGTGCTGCTGATCTCATGCTGCTGATTTATTTCATGCTGCCGTGTTCATTCATACTCTCCTGCTCACACAGACTCATGTTCGTGCTGCTGTTGTTCGGCGTATTGTTTTGCACTAAGTATTTAGTGTATTTCGTAGTTCATATCTTAGATCCTTAGTACTGTTTCTTTTACTATTTATATTTTTGGGTGCAACTGTGACCCTGTATACACAGTTTCATTCCACCTCATGTACCACATGTGATGCGAATGACAATAAAGAACCTTGAACTTGAAGGATCGACTCAACCCTCTCGTGTTTACGTCTGGCTGAAGTGGAGTCCAGACTCCTCGCCTTGTCAGACTGTGTGTAAAGCACAGGCCCACTGTCCTCCTCACTAGGCCTGTCATGATAACGCATTTTGCTGGGCGATTGTCTCAGAAATTATTGCGATAAACAATAACATTGTTTGAAATTTGACAATAATTACTACTTATTGTCAAATTTAAGAAGAAATGTTGGTAATTTGTTTTGAGTGTAGTACCTTTTATTGACCACCAGATGGCAGTATAAGACTGAACTGAAGGATGGATAGTGAGGAAGCGAGAAGCATGTCTAAGAAAAATCGAAGGGAGGCCCCTTGACGTGACATGGGCTGTCTTCTTCCTTTTTTGGTCCTCAAAATGGCGGACGATCGGTGTGGTTTGAGCTCTTTAGCATAGCATGTCACACAACGCTTGTAAGAACGAAAAAAAAAAAAATCAGTAAACAAGTTCTCAGCTTCTTTTTGCAGGGAAAAAAAAAAAACAAAACTTTTACATGAAGGCACGGGCTTCAACCGTGAATTTTGGAGCTTTGACAAGACGGAGGTATTTTCCCTGAGGTTGGCCTGCAAGCTTAGCTTGTAGCTTATCTGCTTTTAACGATCCAAAAATGCGATCTTGGACGGTTAAAATGCATTTTAAAGGGAAAAGAGAAAGAGAGAGGTCAGTGAAGAACACCAGAGTTGAGCTTTTTGTCGGAGACAAAGAGACGCAAAGAAACGATAAAGCTGATTAATGAAAACGAGGTAGATAATTTTCATTTATCATGCAATTAATTGATTTATTGTTTATCGTGACAGGCCTACTCCTCACCCGATTCAAATAATTCAGCTACCTACTCAGAATTTCAATAAGTTTAGCAGAAGCCGGTCAATGACTCATTTCTTTTAGTCAGGTATGATGAAGCAGACAAACATCTAAAACAAGCAGGATAGTGGACCACAAGGATCAGGGTTGTGGACTTGTTGTGTACAAGATGTGGAGCCAGGCATCAGAACGCACAGTGGGGTAAAAGCATAATGTATACACTCTTAATAATAACTTGGAAAGCAACAAAATGTTTCCCTATTTTCACATCGTAGCTGCTCTTTGTTCAGGTCGCAATTCATGTGCTTTCCCCCCTACAATTTTAGAGGGTTTTCATTGCAATGTCACAAAAAAAACAGCAAAAATTGTTTTTACGAAGTAACACATATCAACGCTTAACGTGTCACTTAATTAAAAAAATAGTAAGCAAGCTTTGAACAGCTGCTTATTTACAGAAACAGCCGACGTGGTTATGAAAAGGTCGACTGAGACGTTCGTGAAGAGCACAGGCGCTTTGTTTTAATCGAATGTGGACCCACATTTCAGAACTGCATCTAAATAAATCTGGAAAGCTACTAAAGTAAACTCTGCACCAATAAAAGTTCAGATTAACCTGTTGTATTTTATTTGCATGAGTATCTTTAACAAATAAGCACACAAAATGAAGCATGCAGACACCCAAACAAAAACAAAAACTAAACATTAAGCTAAATTATGAACCCAAGCGGTTTAAAATACACTGGTTCAATCAAAGCTGCTGCTTCCTTAATAAATAAAACTCTGACCTACATCCAAATCTCATTCAACCCTGATGACAAGCGTAAATCTTATGATTTATTAATGCACCCTTGGTAGAACTGTGTATAAGATTTTCTCATTTTCAGAACAAAAAAAAATAAAAACCAGAACCCAGAGTTAGGTCAGAGAGTAAAATAAGAATATGAAACTAGACGTTACCTTGTAGGAAGATACAGTCCTGTGCTGAAGCTGCCGAATATCTCTACCTGCAGAAAACACAGAGAAACGACAAGTCTGCTTTAACTTTGGACACATCCTGCCTGGTCTTTGACAATATGAACACTTGCTGACAAATTGAACATTTGGACAAAAGCAGAGTGATAATGGCTTCAGCTCTCCATATTTATACTTTGACAAAGGTACAGTTTGAATGTACGTTTAAATTCGACGATAGTTGGAAATATTAAAACAACACATAAAGAGACTGATCAATGTGGAAGTTTAAACACAAAAAAATGTCTAATATATTGTGCTTTTGTAGGTTTTCATAGCTTCAATTAATGAAGACAACCCAAGGGGTGTTAAAATAATCGAAGAGCCTTGGAGGAAAGAAAGCAGAAATAAAGGCCTAGTGTATTTTAACAGAATGCATAAAACTCCTCCACTTTCATGACGGATCCATTTAAAATTTATCTCAGTATCTCAAACTGATTGATCTTTAGTCATTGTTGTGTTGTGAAGGACACTTAGTTTAGTTAATAGTTATCCTAGCAATCCTTCACCTTTTAGTTGGGGGCAATAAATAAATAATAATAAAACAGTAAAGTCTGTGGAAACTCAAGGTTCAAGATTATTGTCATTTGCATCGCATGTGGTACATGAGGTGGAATGAAATTGTGTACTCAAGGTCCCAGTTACACCTGGTGACCAGAATGTTTTTTTAAAGCTTAGGAAACAACCAAACTGGCATGAATTATGAGAATTAAAAAGGTAAAAACTAAAGCTAAGCCTAATATGTTCTGTACTTGTACATGCTTTCAATACAGCTTCTCAGAGGTTAACTCAAAATTTATTATATAACTCTTAACTGTCATTTATAATAAAATGTACATGTTTCCATCCACTTATTTCTAAGTTGGGTCACAAGGACAGCAGCTTGAAAAAGGAGGCCCAGACATCTCTTTCCACAGCCACCTCTTCCAGTTCTTCTGGGAGGACTTCAAGGCATTCCCAGGCCAAAAGAGAGACATATTCTCTCCAGCATGTCCTGGGTCTTCCCGGGGTCTCCTCCCAGTCAGACATGCCTGAAGCACCTCCCTAGGGAGGCGCCCAGGAAGCATCCTTACCAGATGCCCGAACTACCTCAACTGGCTCCTTTCAATGTAGAGGAGCAGCGGCTCTACTCAGAGTCTCTCCTGTAGCAACGGGCCCCCAATCCTATACTCCAGGAGCACCCCCCACAGTGTACCCTGAGGAACATGACTGAACACCTTCTCCAAGTTCACAAAACACGTAGACTGAATGGGCAAACTCCCATGACCCCTAGAGGACCTTAGTGAGGGTAAAGAGTTGGCCCAGTGTTTCATGACCAGGACAGAACTTGCATTGTTCCTCCTGGATCTGAGGTTCAACCAACGATCGGACTCACTTCTCTAGTATTCCTGAATAGACCTTACCAGGGAGGCTAAAGACAGTGATGCCCCTATGAGGGAGCACACCCTCTGACCCCCCTTTCTGAATAGGGGAACCACCACCCAGTCTGTCAATCCAGTGGCAGACTACAGTCCAGTGGCTACCTTAACAAATGAGGATCAGAACATGGCTCACTTGAACTCAATGTATCCCGCATCAGCTGGGATGCGGTTAAAACTCTCCTGGAGATGTGAATTGAAGATCTTTCTGATGGGTTCTTGTGCATTGGGAGCAAACCTTCACTACATGTTTGAGTCCACCAGGTCTGTCCGGCATTTGCCCCTGCCATCCGACCCAATTCACTACCACATGGTGATCAGACAGCTCAGCTCCTCTCTTCAGCCGAGTGTCCAAAACAAACGGCCACAAATCAGATGACAACTATAAAGTCAGTCATTGATCTATGACCTAGGGTGTCCTGGTGCCAAACGCATTTATGGACACCTTTATGTTCGAACATGGTGTTTGTGATGGACAAACATCATGTTCATGATGAACACTGGTTCGAGGCGAGCCCAACTATATCTACTCGGTACCTCTCAACCTCACGCACAAGCTCAGGCTCCTTCCCCACCAGTGAGGTTATGTTCCATGTCCCAAGAGCCAGCTTTGGTAATCCAGGGTCAGAGTGCCAAGACCCCCGCATTTGGCCACTGCCCATGGTGTCATGCACCCAACTTTTTATGGCCCCTCCTGCAGGTGGTAGGCCCACGGGAAGTGCTTGTTTTACGTTTGTTTAATATAATCAGAAATCAACAGCTGCTTTATGATTTGAGGACTGGGGCAGTGGCAGCTCAAGAAGGTGGCACTTGCCTCTGGTTAAAAAAAAAAAAAAAAAAAAACTTGTAGGATAAGTCAGGTCATTATAGGACCTCTGGGCAGGTTCTCTGAATGGGTTCCTCTTGAAGAGCCTGTACAGATGACCTCACTCAGCACTGAGCACTTTTTGAACATTTTGTAAGACATGGGCTCATGCTCTTCTCATGGAGCAGCAGGTGACAGGTCAAGTGTATTGATTTCATTATTGGACAAATCATGACACTAAGAAAAAAAAAAATCTCTGGATGGATCCGTCACTGGACTTGGCAGTCATGTTTCCCATCATGCCACAGTACTCTGAACCATACAGCCCAGCTCCCTCCCCCCATAGCCATAAATCCCTGCAGAAGTTAGTCCCCCCATACTCACCCGTGCTGTGGGCCACAACTCTTTAATGACCCCCTCTATTCTGCTTACAACATCTCTTCTCATGGCCTCTTCCTCAGGTCTGGGGGACATGAAGTTAAAAAAGTCCACGATTTCTTCATGCAGCCTGACAACAATGGAGGAGAGAAACGTGGACATTCAGACAGAATTAACGCTTAAGATCATCGTTGTGCTGGATGATCCTTTACCCGTTGATGCCCGGGCTGTAGCGCCTGGTTTTCCACATGCTGCACGAGGAGTCTCCATGATGGTGATGGCCCCTGAAGCCGTAGGACAGCAGCGGGTTGAAGCCGTGGAAGGTGTTGGCCCGGTTCAGGTGCCTCCTGCGGCCGGATGCATGGGGCTGGTGGTGCTGCCTGCCGGCCCCCGGCTGGTTTCTGCCCCCGGTGGGGGTGTGGCCGCCCGGACGGGGCACGCTGCGGCAGTGCTGCTGCTGGGCGGCCGGCGGAGGGGCCGGGTGCTGCCGCCGGAGGTTGTTCTCGTTCAACCTGCGCTCGCCGAGGTGTACGAACTGCTCCCGGTCCTCCGCCACGTTCAGGTTGTCCATGTGGAGAGAGGAGCCGCAGGGCGAGGTGCTCTCGGCCTCCGAGTCCAACGAGGAGGAGGACGGGGACAGCGAGCCCTTCCTCCGGACACTCCCCCGCTCCCCGTCTCGCCGCGGATGTTTCCCGAACACGAGCCCCGGTGGCGGCGATTCGTGTCTGCGGATCTCACCGCAAGAGTCCACCGAGTTCGCGTTCTGCACCGCAAAGTTGCGTTGGTGGTGAAGGTGGTTGTCAACGCTGGAATTCGTACCCAATCCCTGCGAGGTCCTCCAGAAATGCATCCACAGAGAATTGACCGGTCCCTTCTGTTCCGGCTGGATCCAAACCGTCCTGAGATCCATTCTGAATCGACTCGGAAGATAACCTTACCACAAAAAACGGAAGCAACTTTACTGGCGAACACTGATGCACTCCAGGACGCTTAAAAAATTAGTAACAGAGCGCTAATTTACTCATTTCCCTCGAGGTGTTTCATGATTTTATCAGGCGGCTCAGGACAGCCACGGCCAATATGACGCGTGACGCACCCCAACCAGCAGCACGATCAGCGTCTGCGCATGTGCGAGGGATTTAAATCTTTAGACACGCCCCCCGGCGCTGAGGGAGCTTCAAGATGAAAAGAAGCAACCGACAACACCGGAAGTTGACTGTAAAAACTCACAGACTTGACAAGTGAGTAAATAAAACAAAAACAAATATAAACAAAAGAATTCCACAACAAACAACAATAATAAAATACACCCCTAGTGGCTGGTTTAAAATACATTTCCCCATCACTGCCCATTAACAATTATTTTTGACAAAAAAGAATGTAAATATTTTCATATTACTTGTTCTTATGGCTAGCACTGTTATTTAGAAACAAAAACTATTATTTCTTAACACGCTCTGTTCTCCCATATCTGACACATTGTTGAATGACACACACACTAACATATATATTTTTAAATATATATAAAAAAAAATATATATATATATATATATTTTTTTTTTTTTACAATAATTCATTTAAAAAAACATAGAATATCTACCGGTATACAACTGTATTAATTGTTGTACAACTAAGGTTACATTATGAGAAGTTTTCATTTACTTACTGCCATGATAAAACAGATGATGGATTCAGATCTATTTAAAAATTATGAAGGGTTTTATTGTGGTGGCCAAACCAGGAAACGGAAGCTCTTAGAATTATCAAACACTAAAGCAAACCCAGGCAACTGTCAATTTAAATGTATAAAACCTGTTTAAAAAACTGTGTTTCTAATATATTTTAAGTAAATTTAAAAAAAAAGAAAACAAAATAAAGCAAGATGTGTGTTACTGGAAGAAAAGCCCCACTTTATTATGCTTTAACCAAATTAAAGAGACATATTTTGGATATACAATTTAACTTACTGGCTATAAAAAACAATAAGTCTGATTTTCTTGTTAGAAAATAAGTTTTTAGTGCAACACTTTCTATGCCTTGTGTGTGTTCATGCAATTATTTTGTTGGTATGTCAAAAATAAAAATGCTAGAATTAAAAAAAAAAAAACAACAGTGAGGTGTTTTGTAAATGTTTTTAAAAGTCCAATCCAAGAGGGAAAATGTATGAGCGTAATGCTAATTTATCGTCTAAATAAATAAAGCTACATTGAAAGTTTACTTTTCATCACCTTCTCAATCACATCAAAACATTTTGACAAATTCTGAGACTTCAAAGTTATGTGGAATAAAAAAAACTACACAAACGACATTTTGACTCAGTATGAGTAGATTTTAATTAGAAAATAGAAGTCTTTGAAACAAACTGTAAAAAACATTTCGCTTTTCAGTTGGATTTGTTTAGAACACAAATACCGACACATCGGATTTACCCCAGCTCCAAAAACAACTTTACACACCTCCATATTTTACATACTTCACAGAGTTACCTGAGATTATTAAAGAGGCAGGAAGTTCTGCTAGTGCATTCCTTTAGAGATAAGGTTGAATAAGACTAAATAAAACTTTAGCAAAACAAATTTCTGCATCTCCCATAAAAAGTTTGCTACAAAAGTGGAAAACGCTGATTTACTAAAGACAGGTGCATAAAAAACAAACATTACTGAAGTCTGACGATATCTGAAGCAACTTAGCTACATTTAAGATGCTAAAAATGAAGACAATCCACACTTTGTGTAGCGCAAAGAGCACAAAGTGTGCCCATGTGACAAACGACTACATCATAGGCTGTAGATTAAAATATTGAGGTATGTGATTGGTCTTTAAAAATCTTGGTACAGTCTCAGCTCTTGACCTGTCTGCTGATAGATGCTATCTGATTGATACAGCTAGTGACAGCAGGAGGGACATGCTGACTCGTCTCTCCTCTCCACTCTGCCAAGGCCTCCAGGGTCTGTTTGGGGTTGCAGGGAGACAGGTCGTAGCTGCAGTAGACGGCTGCTAACTGGACCTCCCACGGTACACCTGCAGCCAAAAAACATGAAGGAATTAAACCATTCAGAGGAATCTTATCTGCAGAAACGACTTTTTTGTGTGCAAGTGCGTTTTTTTTTTATTACTATTTCAGACCTATTTGACACAAAAAGTATAACCCAGCTATGGAAATACATATATATTTAATATACTGCATACGGGTAAATAATATGTATAGCTTAATGGCTAAAAGAGAAAATTTTGTTTAAAGCAATAGTTCAGATGAAGGTCTGCAAGATTTTATGAACTACGTCTTACTTGTTGTAGAATGTTCTTTAATCTGTCTCTGTTTAGAGAAAGTGAATTAAATTCTTGCCAAACTGATGAGCTAATGGCTAGTCCAAACAGGATAAATGTCTGATGATGTTGTTCATGGTGTAAACCAACAAACAGGTCAATTAAATAACATGAACTGCAGCATTCAGGTGTGAAGAACTCACCTGTTTAAGACCACCAACTGATCCAAACCATTTTAAGATCAGATGAGTGGACTTCACCAAAACTAGAACCACTCAACGAGTTCTGTGGTGGGCATGAACTTAAATAACATCCAATGTGGAGACACAGTCTGAGGACATTTATTGTCCTAAACATTTGTAGAGTTACACCATGGACAACTTAGGACTGTCTTCTGGATGGACAGATGGGGACAATAAAGAGAACAAGTTTGACAATTCTATAATCCCCAGATATCAAGCTGCAGTGTAGACTAGGTTTTAACAAAGGGATCATCTAGGACCTTGACCTTTGACCCCATGACTTTGAAACCAACAAGGATCACCCTTGACCCAAGATGTGTCCAGCTGTGCAGTTTGACATTTCTGTTAAAGTGTTAGTCCAGAGTAAAGCTTGGACAACCAACTGTCCGCAGACAGACGGATGGATGGTGCCATACCATAATACACCCATGTTAGACGGGCGCATAAAAACATATAAAGACAAACATGCGCCTACAAATTAAAACCAATACAAATAGAAAACATTTTATTTCATGAAGATGAATGTCTGAAGTTGGCAGCACTTTGAGTTCAAAAACAAAACCTGTTTTAGATAGAACCTAACTTTTTCATTTTAATTATTATTGTAAGGCTGTTTTAACCTGTTCAAAATAAACAAACAAACAAATAAATAAATAAACAAACTTGTACTTGGTGTTTGACTGTAGTTTGATACCTTCAGTCTGTGCATGTCTTAGAAACGTGTTGATGATGTTAGCCACAGTGTCCACAGATGAAATGCAAATCTCTTTAAGGCCCAGCTGACTGAGGCGGCCTATTGAAATAAAACCCAGTCAAAATCTTCAGTTATTAATAAAATGACACATTACATATAATTTAAATATGTTTAAATAAAGTAACAACAACTGACCTATGAGTCGGAGTACAGTAGCAACAGTCTTATCAGAGACAGGCTCTTGTTGATCTCTTGGCTGTGCTGTCCATGTGTTCATTAACGGCCACAACTCACTGCTGGGAAATGAACAGAAAAGGTAAATACAGGTATACAGCCTTCAGACCAGTAACTTGTTTAGTAGACAAGAAAATGGGACTAAACATCTAAGAAAAAGGGAAATGGACTGAAAAAACAATATACCGCAGCACGTGTTCATAGGTCCATTGCCACTTCATGTGTGAACACAGGAGGTGCAGAGTGAAAACTTGTTCCCAGGCTTCAGCTCCCAGATCTTCTCCATAACGAGTGTGTTTGATAAAAGACCGATCTGAACCTGACCGAAGTCCAGACAGAGTTCTGAAGATCAGCTGCTCGATGTCACAAGGAGGGTTCTATAAGAAGAAAAAAAAGGCTGAGAAAAGGTTTTAAAAGAGGCAAACAAGTTAATTTGAAAACCTCAAATCATTCTGATACTTTACATTACCTCCATGTAAATGCAGTAAGAGAACTCAGATGTGTGCACCTCTTCAGAAATGGACTAAAGTTTGAGTTTTTTTGAAGCATCGAGCTTGTTCATTTTTAAAATATGTTCAAGGACATTGATTTATTTTAGATTACTTAACATAAACTGCTGGAACTGCACCAGTCAGAGCCAGAAAGCACTACAGAGGGTGGTGCAAACAGCAGAGGACGTCACTGGTAGCAGTCTCCACACCATCCAGGACATCTACCACAGCCAATGTCTGCGTAAAGCACGCAGCATCATTAAGGACCACACCCACCCAGCACAAGGACTCGTCCATCTACCGGTACTACAATCAGGCAGACGATACAGGAGTCTGTCATCGTGTACAAAAAGACTAAATGATAGTTATTATCCACAAGCTCTCAGATTACTGAACTATTGATAATAATACTAAACAAGTGACAATAACTTTGCACCAAGCCACATCTGTGACACCTAATATGTTTATTTCTGCTGTATTATGTGGCTGCATCATGTATGCCACTACCATACTATCGTAACTCAGTTAATCTCAGTGTTCCTCACCACATGTGCAATAACCGTCACACAACCTGTGCAGTTTATGTTAGTTATGTGCAAAATATATCATGTTCATTTAAGCTTATATTACTACCTGTGAAATATTTATACTAATTCATCCTACTTGCACCGTTATATCCTACCATGTTGTTGTTTATTACATTTCTTTTGGGCCTTGTTAATATTATATTTCCTTTTTTTAAATTTTTTGGTACTTTATTTTGTACGCTTATTGCATGCTTTAGTATTTCTTGTTTTGTTTTTAGAGAGTTGAATTGGTTCTTCTCATCCTGAACATTTCATTGCATTGTTGACTTTGTGTTAACCTGCATATGACAAATAAACAACATAACTAGAAGCAAAGTTAATAACTTGCAATAAAAACTGAAAGTGTATTTAGCAGATATTACCTGCGACAAACTTTTCACAAATTCCTCGTTTTAATAATTGATAAAATGGGTAGCTTTTAAAAATGTACCGTACTACAAGTCAGAGAAGGTTACGATGATGTAAATCAGAAACAAGACCTAAAAACAAGAATTTTAAATGACACCCAGACCACTCCTCTAACTGAACATGAACCGAGTATGTTTCCACTTATTACCTTTGCATGAGCTCATTTACAAACTGTATCACTAAGTGACCACATTGAAATGTTGTGATGAAGTAGTAAACTATTTTTATTAGAAATTCTAACTTTCTTTCAGCTGCTCCCCCTCTGCAGGGGTCACCCCAGCGAGCAAACTCACACAAGAGATTTGGAAATTGGTTTTACATCAGATGCCCTTCCTGACGTAACCCGGACTCAAATTTGCAGCCTCAGGATTACAAGACCTCACACTGACCACTGAGCAACCACAGCCCCAGACTCTTTACATTAGTTTAAAAAGCCCTACATTAAAATAATAAGATATGCAGAAGACAAATATATATTTGTATGTCTAAAATACCTTTTCCCAGCCAAGAAATGCAGAAAGGCAGCCGAGAAGTCCTTCTTGTGCTTTCAGTTTGGTGACGGTATGAATGGCCTGGCACAGCAAGCTGCCGTGAGAGAGAACAGTGGGCCATGTTGTCACCATAAATAACACCAGCTTGGCTGAATCTGGAAAATCTGAAGGAGGAAAAAACAACAACATATTTTTTAGACAAGATTTTTGATTTTACTACAGTTGCAAGTTATTTATTCTCCATCTCATTACTCTGATTTTATTTATAAAAAACATCATAATACTGTTGTCCCTCACTTATCGCAGGAGTTACGTTCTAGACCAGGGGTGGGCAATTATTTTTTTCCATGGGGCCACATGAGAAACAACAAATATTGTGGAGGGCTGGCACAAATGACTTTTTCATTCAACCTTTATTTAGACAGGTAAATCCCATTGAGCCTCGAGGACTCATTTACAAGAGATACCTGATTTCAACTTAACTCAATACTGCATAATATTAGTATTTCATTATTAAAAGCAGTACATAGCACTGTTTTAACAAGCTGGTAAGAGTATTTGTTATGATTAAGCAACGAAAAAGCGAGTTTTCCTTAAAAAAATGTCATTTATTCAATTAAATTTCCCAGAACAATGGTAAACTGTTAACATTTTTACCATTTGTGACGTTATATTAGTGATAATTTTCAGTCACATTCACCCCAAAACTCATTTTGAGTTTTATATACTGCTGGAAAAAGTTCTTAGCTTTCTAAATATATCACAATATTGTCTTTGTACTCCAAATATTATGAAACATCATATAATAATGATCGTCACTGAACTGTGATTTCGAGTCCCGGTTCTTTACGTGCCTACATTTGTAGTCTAAACATCTCATTTGGTGTTTATCAGTTCTTTTTTCTTGTTTAGTGAGAGAAGTCTAGTCTCTGTTGGGCTTTAACGGAAATGTTAAAGTCAGGTTGAAGGTCTGAGGTGGAAATGTGAAGCAAAGCTGACATCATCAGTGATAGAAGATCTATATCTGGATTTGGTTAACTTCATTTGTTTACATATGTATTTTGTAATTCCCCTTACGGGGGCCGGTCAGAGTCAACCAAAGGGCCGCATGTGGCCCTGGGGCCGTACAATGCCCAGGTATGTTCTAGACACTCCCGCGATAGGTGAAAAACCACAAAGCAGGGACATTATATTTATTTTAGTACTTATGTATTTTAAGGCTTTATAAACCCTTCCCACACTTTTGCAGTGTTCTTAACAATGTTCTAAACTCTCTAAACGCTCTAAAAGAGCACAACGAAAGACAGCAGACAGACTGAAGCTATGGTTACTGAGCCAATCAGCACCCAGGGGCAGACTGGCCATCAGGAGCACCGGGACGGGAAATGTTTCGGCTCAGTTCGGGTCGGCTTGGGTTAAGGCTTGGTTCAGGTCACGCTTGATTATTTTAAATAAACAATCCATGTCGCTCACTCTGGTAGCCGCCACTCTGAAGCTCCCACAGTAGCAATGTGGAAAGACAGACCCCATCCCTTGCCCCTTCCTTTCTCTTTCTGAGGCTGTCTGTCACAGCAGAGCAGAGACACACAACAGGTTGCACGCCCGCCTGTTGTGTTTTTCTGCTCTACTGTGACAGACAGCCTCAGAAAGAGAAAGGAGGGGCCCCTTCGGCAATCACTGAGCAGGCCAGGCCACCGGGAAACTATGTGTGTACAATACGCTGAAAACCCATGAACGAGTGAGCCCGCGCAAGTCCAACTGCAAAGTATCGAGGGACTACTGCAGCTGTGCTTTGTGTCGATGCATCAACGGTGAGTGAATGTGTGTAGTTTAATAGTACCTTCAGTAAGAATGCTGTAGGCCAGGATGTGAGCCTTCTCCCAGCATTTCTTCTGTCTGCAGACACCGATGTAGACTCTGCAGAGGGCTTGCGTGTAGTTTGAGCTGAGAGTGACCTTTTCAGCCTTTAGTTTGTTCAAGATGGCCATAATCACATCGTCTACCTGAGACTGAGGAGAAAATTAATGAACAGAAATTGAAAAATACAATTTACAGTCAACTGATGCACACTCCATTTGTTGTATGGTTACTTGTTTTTCAATTCAACCCCAGTAGCAAGTTACACCGTGGGAACATATTTACTTTGAAGCATAAGCAAATGTTATCATAAAAAATAATCATTTGCAAGAACAGTATCAACTTATTTCCTTTGGTTTCTGGTTTCTAATTAACTGCATACAATCAAAGTCTGACTGGAAATATTTTGGGTGACTTTAGGAGCCCTAAGAAGCAGCTAAAGTTTTAAATGTGTAAGAAGATGGAGGATATACTAACCGAGCTAGATTTACAAATGTCAGAGATGACCTCTTTCTCCTCATTCCTCAGAACAGGCTTTGTAGGCAGATTGCCAACATAAAGGTGGCTCTGAACAACAGGCAGCAAATCAAAGCATTGCTTCCTGATTTTCTCTAAAACATTAACTACAGGGTCTTGCTCAGCAGCTTCTGCAGATGGAGAGGTTGTCCTACTCTTGAACTGGTCAATCCCTGCAGCGTGGAGAGAGGTAGTCTCTTCTTTACTGCTTGAAGGCGGAGAATGAGTAGCATCAGCAGAACTGGGTTCGAGCTTTGGACATTTCCTGTTTTCAGGCTGAGGCAAACTGATGGCTGGCCTTTTTTCTCCCCTCAGCTCAGTCTTTGTGAAAGCCGTTGAAGCAGAGCTGATGGTTTTAAAGCTTGACACCTGATGGTCAGACGCTGTGGGCAGTGTTCCACTCTCTGATGAACAACTGCCAAGACCGACATTCCCTCTGAGGATGCTCAGAGTCCGAGCACGAGCCGAGAGCTCTGGATACATGCTGTCAAGGAACCTCATCGAGTTTTCCTGAGGTGGACTGGCAGAAGCAGAGGGTGAAGAATTATTTGGTTTAGGGGGCAAGCGACCAGGAACCGGCAAAGCATGTTTTGGAGTGGCAGAGCCGAACTGAAGAGGAGACGAGGGGACGCTGTTTGAAGGAGTGGGGCTGTGTAGGGAGGAAGAATTGACCTGTTGACCGCTGGGTACCAAGTGCGCCTTGGTGGGAGTGGTAGGTGAATCCATACAATCCATGGGAGAAGGAAATGACAATTTTCCAATTGCATGCCTTGGGTTGATTGATTTTCCAGCCTTTGGGGGTGTGGTCAGAGGAGTCAGAACAGGAGGAAGTGGCGGCCCCATTTCTAACAGAACATGTCCAATAATCTGTGGGGTTTGAGCTGAAGCTAGACCCCCTTCTGAGCTACAGTTATCTTCGTTGTGAATATGTGAGTTCTGCGTTTCATGCATTATTCCACGTGTGTCTGAATGTTCAGTTTGTCCCTTTGTTGCAGAAGTATCTTTAATAAACGAGGTGGTACGACCTGATTCTGGGCTGACCGGAGAAAGCTCTTTGCCAGCTGCCTTTTCCATAATGTCTCCATGCTGAACAGAACCTGCAACATGTTCCGTGTCAACGTCAGCCTTAGGGGTTTTCAAACTTTGCAGGTTTACAGGTGAAGGACATTTTGAACTCAATTGTTCTTCCCCAAGTTTGCCACCGAGAGTAATTTTTTCTAATGAATTTGAAACCAAAGGTGCACTGCTTGTTTTCTCCGTATCATCATCCATTTTTAAAAGAGCTTTTGAACTGAAGTGGCTACATTCCTTAAAAGAAGGGAGCTCGTCATCTTCCATGTCCAACCCTGGAGCTTTAGTGAAACTTGTGAGTTTATTGTGCGCATTTGAGTCAATGGCAGTGACATCATTGTTTCCAGTTTTCTGTGCTGTTATTTCATCCTTCTCCCCAAGAACTTGAATATTAGCAGGGTTTTCCAGCCTTTCTTCGAGGTTTATATTGGAGACACCATCACTGCTACTGGGTCGAGTATTCTCTGGTTTTTCTGTATTTTCCTGGAGTTTGACTGCAGTGGCATCAGTACTGCTCTGACAAGATTTCAGATGACTCGTTTCAACTTCCGAGACATTTTTTGTCACACTGTTTTTCTTCAAAGACTCATTTTCTTTTGAAATGGCAACATGTTCTGTTTCAACGACTATAACTTCATTACTTCCTCTCAGCAACTCTTTGTCATCAGCAGTGACGGCTGGGGTATCGAGAGCATCAACTGTGCTTGGGTCAACTTCCATATTTGTGTCATAGTCCAAATTATCTTGTTTTGCTTCTTCAAACCCATTTTTAGTTTCAACGATGCTGTCAGCACCACCGCTGTTGGTTTTTCCACCACAGGACTCAGCTGGATTTCCAGCGTTGCCACTTGATGTTGAAGAGGATTGTAACAATGCCGTCTCCTCCTTAGGCAACGGGTCTATTTCAGAAATAACTTTTTCAAAATCTTTATGGGGTTTGTCTGTCAGAGCAGCAGCAGCACATGACCTGTTTTGTGCCAAGTCTTTTTCTTTGGAAACATGATGGTATTCATGTGTTACAGCATCCACAAAGTCCACATTCTTCTCTCTCTGAAGTACAGATTTTGGACTGTTGTGGTTTGATGGTGATGACATATTTAAGGATTCTTCTGATTTGAGAGCATGTAAATCCTCAGAGGATCCTGGGAGGATTTTCTTTTCTTCCCTGTCCAACTCCATAACTTCAGTCTCATTCTCCTGAGAGAAGTTTAAAAAGCAAATAAGTAAACAGCAACAAATTTAACAAATAAATTGTTTTACTATATATATATATATATATACACACACATGTATTATAAACTTTCAGGTATGTTTCATAACTTCTGGCTAAATTTTACAAAGACAAACACTGAAGGTGAAGATTTTTCTATTAAACCATTCTCACCAGGTCTAGTAGCGGAGAAATGCAGGGAAGTATTGGCTTAAACATTTCCATTATTGCATCAAAAGAAATATCAGGGCTGTTGTTAGTTTTGGGAGGTGAATCCTCAAATTTTTGTTTTTTGCACGCTGGTTTTGTCTTTTTGAGATCTTCTGCTTCCTTCTTGCCATTCAAACGCTGAGGAGACACCTGGCGCTTGGTGACATTCGGTGCCTGTAGAGCTGGTTTTAATGGTGTGTTGGAGGCTTTGGTCTTGACAGGGTAACTGTCTGATCCAACGATTGTCTGAGAAGCAGAGGTGGAAATTCTGCATGGATTAGATTTCCATTTGACGTGGGGAGAAGAGAGAAGGACGTGTTTGGAACTAGACTCTGAGGAAGAAAACAACAACAACAAAAACATAATGAGGAACACTGGGTGTAACCTTCTGAAAGATATCCAAATTGTAAAATGCACATGTCATCTGTAATAGCATGTTATGTAGGAGGAGGTACAGTAGTCCCTCGCTACTTCGCTGTTCAACTTCTGCAGGCTCACTCTTTTGTGGATTTTCAAAGTAAGATTGTAATCAACACACGATTGTCAACTTTAATATTACTCACGTGATTAGGATGAAACGGGATACAGTAAAAAGTTAACAAAAAAAATGCTTTGGATAGACGCAGCCACTTTGTAATTTTCTCTCAATAAGCCTATAATGTATCGCCACTCACAAGGACTACATTTCCCAGAAGCCAACAGTGCACTTCCCAGAATTCCTAACAGTGCTTCCAACTATTATTTTCTGCTGAAATGGAGAGAAATTTTGATCCGATCCAAAAAAATTCAGTCCTTATTCATAGTGACTTTGGCGCTCAGTGGATGCAGAGAGCCACACGGAACCGACCAGGAATTGGATCAGTACCAGACTTCCAGCATCATCGGTCAATCTGAGTGCTGCTTGCCAGTCCAGGGAGCCTCTCTGTAGGGATACACGATATTATCGGGATGGTATCGTATCGGCCAATATTAGCGTTAAAGTTCGATATCGGACATCGGACATTCCATTAAAATAACTCGCCAATATAAAAGGCACTATTTTTGCCTGCAGTGGCAGCACAACGTGATGACGTTGCAGCAGCAGTGCAACACAATGACGTCACGTGCGCCTACCTGATCTCATGGCGGAGAGGAAAATTCAAAACGTCGGCGGTGTGGAAGTTTTATTTTTCGTTGGTGAGGATGTCGGATTCCGAAGATTTTTGGACTACGTTGAGCCTCACTACATCGTCCCCAGTCAGAGATATTTTTCCGACATAACGTTCCCGAGTTACAAGTCGTCATTTCCGACGTCATTGAGAAGCTAATAGTTGATAGCATGACTTGTTGGGTGAGTTTTACCACAGGCATTTGGACGTCGTGTTAGCATGATTAAGTCTTACAGCACAATGGATAGACAAAAACTTTTAACTTAAAAAGTCTATCCTTTATGCACAGACAGGAGTGCAGAGGATCCCACACTGCAGCTAGGAACCTGGAACAAGCCTCCACAAGTGAGACAACATCGCAGGTGACTAATGCTAATAAATAACATTTAACACTTTTCATTTAATATAAGTTAAAGTGCTATGTATATCATATGGCTGTTACTGAATATATGTCACTAGCTCTTACAGCTGTTGCACAATTTTTGTAGCAAATAAGCCTAAATAAGAGGGCTATGTTCTGACAAAGGAACGTATATAAAATATCGGTATCGGCATCAGTTATTGGCCAAATAAGTTTTAACATATCGGCATATTGGATATCGGCCAAAAATCCAATATCGTGCATCCCTACCTTTCTGGTAGGGAGGCGTTACTTGAAGATCTGTTGTTTTCTCTGGCGCTCATTGGGACTTTTTTCATCTGTATTTGGACTCAATTAGGACTAGTGGTGTAACGGTACACATGGGTGTATTGAACCATTTTGATACGGCACGTTCGGTTCGGTCCACGTGCGTACAGTTTCGGCTATTTTTTCACTCATTAAAATTTTATTAATGAGAGATTATGCACCACGGAACTAAAGTTCCTAATCGTGTTTCAGCACTGCGCTATTTATTGTTGCATAGTCTTGCAGCACGCGTAGCATTAGCAGCCTGGCATCTCATTGCGTTCTCCTGTTGGGGAACATTATAGCTTTCTTGTTAAAAGACAAGTGAACAAATCCAAAGCTGTGTGTCAATGTTGTTTCACGGAGATTGGATCTGCAGCAGGCAACACGTCTAACTTGTTAACACTCTTGAAACGACATCATCCGAACGTGAACATCTCTTCTACAAGCAAGATAAGCAGCTTGTTGCAAAGACCGATAACAGCAGCATTTAAACAACCTTTATCAGGTAATTCAGATCGGTCCAGAGCAGTAATACAAGATGTAGGAGTTTTTAAAGCTCTGGATCTACGTCCGAATTCTATTGCTGATGCACAGACTTTAAAATTATTGAGCCCCGCTACGACATCTCATCACGTCAACACTTCCGCCAAAAAATTGTAGCAGCACTTTATGAAAAAGCGCAAACTGATATTGTCAACAAGCCCTGGAGCCCAGATTAAAGCCCTGCCCTGATGATGATGAGGGAGAGGATATTCAACCACCTCATAACAGAAATTATGACATTTCAAGAAGAAGTATTGTTATTTTATTATTATTATCTGATTAACTTTTTTAATTTAAAATGATCATTTTATTAACTCTGTTTTTTTAACCTCTTTGTGTTGTTTACAGTCTGAGGATGTCAGAGTTCCTCTTCAGGAAAATCATTCACCAGATCACCTCCAGCTGCAAAGTCTTTGATGACTGAACTCTTTTGTGAACTTTTCAAGGAACAGGAAATAGCAAGTCCCTTCTGGAGCAGGTCCCAGAAGTTGTTTGTGAGTACAGAGCTTCAGGGTGCCTTTCCCTTGAAACTGACTCTTCTTCGGTGGAAAGAAAATGAGGCCAAATACAGCCACACAGCAAAATTAGCAAAGTGTTACCTCTCTATTCCTGCTACTGTTGCTAGTGAGATGATTTTCTCCACCTCTGGATATAATGTCACTACAACTAGATTTGTGCTTTTGGCAAAAAATGTGGACAAGTTGGTCTTTTTAGCTCAAAACTTAAAACTTGATTAGTTAGATTGTAAACGGTCTGTTGCTGCTTATTGTTCAGGTTCTGACTGTTACTGTATTTATTAAGATTTTTATTATTGATAATATAGTTTATTTATTGTAAAGAGTGCCTTTCATTTAAAATATCATCCAAGTGGGTCGCTTTTATTTATTTTTATACAAACGTATTGTTTACTTGGCATACTGTCAAAAATAAACATTTTGTAAGTCTTTATTTTGGCCTTTTTTGTGCCAAAAATTAACCGAGCCCTCCTTGAAACTGAACCAAACAGAAATGTGATTTTAGCGTACCGTTACACCACTAACCGGAGGGGAGGAGGGTGTCTGGAACGTAACCCCGCGATAAACGAGGGACTGCTGTAATGATAACTCACCAGGTAAAGGCAACAGTTTTGCTGCCTGCTTGGCATCTGGCTCCACACATGTCCATAAACTCTGCAGCAGCAGCCGTACCTTCTCTGAAAAGTTCAACAAACAAAACAAAGAAAACTAAATAGAAAATATCAACTGTTATCTAAGAATTAAAACAAATGATCAATAATTTATTTTTACAAAGTATAACCAACACCATACCTTTGTCTACTTCTGGCTCTGCAGGATCAGTCTGAGTCGTTGTGCAAATATATTCTTGTGGAGAAACAATTTGAATGTTATTTAGACTGAAAACACATTTGAACTCAGAAATACCAACGATGCTGCTCCTCTTGCTCAATGTTCAGAGATCATTGTGGTCAGGAAAAAAACACATTAAAACTGCTAATAACATGCACTGTAGGACTTCTCAAAAAGCAAAACAACTTTGTTAAATAAATTTTTCATTTTTTACCTTTACATCGCGCTCTTTCCAGTTTCTGTAGTCTCGCCTACAAAAAATGTTAACACAGTTATTTTTACACGTTAAAAAAAAACCCCATCTTTATCTAGACTGCATTTCTAAAACCCTTTACATTACCTGGACGTCATAAATATTGCTTTCTAGCAGGAGATTCTCCTTGGTCAGTTGGGTTATCTGATGACTTTTTTGGCTAATCAAGTCTGAAATAAAGGTTAAGAAAAACTTAATTAGCAAGCAGTCTCATACAAACAGACTGAAGACATCAAATCAGATCACCATGCTCCAGGTGTTCTCTAAAACTCACCTTCAAGCTGTCGAACTTTATTTTCAAGGTTATCCTTCCTGAAAACAAGATTGCATAGATTATTTTAAAAATATTCCTACTGTACATATATTCTCAATATAAAATTATTCATAAAACTGAAATATATATATATATATTTATTTAATAATGAAAAAGGTAAATCCACAGAAAGACTTACATGTCTGTCATTTTGGCGTTCTCTTCCTGCAATTTTTCAGCTTTATCCAATTCAGCTTGAGATTGCTTTAAAGATGCCTGGATAGATTAAACACAGTCAATCTTTCAAAGACGACAAACAGATTTTTTTTTGTTAAAAGTAAATATATATTAATTTCAAACAAGAGTCTTTGTTTCTACCTGATATTTCAATAACTCATTTTCCACAGCAGACTTTTCTCTCCTCAGCTGCGCATTTTCCAGTGACTGTTTTTCTGTCAAATCTAACAGGAAAAAAATAACCATAATTATATATACCCGGTATATATATATATATATATATATATATATATATATATATATATATATAATTTACACATTTCTTATGTCTCTAGGGAGAATAGTCAGTATGTGTGTGCAAATTACCATTCATAGACTTCAGCTGGTCTTCAAGACTCTTATTCCTGAGGGGTTAGGAGAGCAATTTTAACAACTTGCTGCAGAGACAAACACCTTCTTTAACAAAGTTTATGATGGAGAAAATAACTTACTTGGCTTCATCCTTGCTTTTTTCCTGCTTTAATTCTTCCATTTGTTTAGAAAGCTGTTCAAGAGCCTGTACAGTTTGCTGTAATAATCAGAAAAACAGTTAAATTGTTACAGCTATTGCAAAAGAAGTGGGTTTTGTAGCTAACCAGAACCATGAACATAATTTCCTGTGAAAATGCAGTCTGAATGCTTATAGGTGAATGATTTTTGCCATTTGATTTTGGACATTTGTTATGATGCGTAACCATGGCAACAAGGCAGTTTTCTACGACCAACAGCAGCTGATTAACATCTCAAAAGCTCAAATAATATCTCAACTACAGCCACAAATCTCAAATGAGTTGAAAAGGAGGCTCTGTGGACGCATTCTCATCTACCTGCCAGCTTTGCTCGAGTGCCTGACCACTGAGATCCTGGAACTATCAGGAAACACGGCTCATGACAGCGGAAGGACAGGATCGTCCCTCGGCACCTACAGTTGGCTGTCCGCAGTGACGAGGAGCTCAACAGACTGCTGGGAGGAGTGGCCATCGATCTGGGAGGAGTTCTGCTCTGCATTCGGACGGTCCTATAGCCCGGGGGAACCGAAAGGCCAGCCGAGTCTGGGTGGACGGATCGAACGGCATCTGCAGCCAGTTTCTTAGGATCCACTGTGGGATGGACCTTTACAAGAGATCCTTCCTGCCTACAGCCATCAGGATCTATAATATCGCTTAATGAAATGAGGATAACGAGTTACAACAACAAATAATTTCCCTTTGGGATTAATAAAGTATTTTTGAATTGAATTTGAATTATGCACCACAGAACTACAGTTCCTAAGCATGTTTCAGCACGGCGATATTAATTGTTGCATAGTCTTGCAGTACACGTAGCATTAGCAGCCTAGCATCTCATTGTGGACTCCTTTTTGAGAACATTATGGTCCTGTCAGCTGTGAAACAAGACGGCTAAAGCGTTAGGCGTCTTGTTAGCAGCTAAGGACCGTATCTTTAGCGATATGATAAACTGCTGATTTATTAATGTTGCGCTTCCTCACTCTGTTCCTCTAAAAGGCACAGTACAGCTAAATGAGCTCTGAACCGTGGTTTATTTCAAGGAAGTAGACAGGTCTGTCAGAGCTGAAGCTTCAAACATGCTCAGCTGCTGTGTTTATTTCTGCTAAATGTCTCCTCTCCTGCCCGCCCACCTACTGGAGAAGCAGGAGGGGGAGCGCAGCTGAGGGCTGTGTGTTTGTGTTCGAGGAGATAGAAGGAGGGGGCGAGTGGGAGAAAGAAGACGGCAGGATTTCCAAGTATAAGACTATATTGTTTTATATAGAGATAGTCTCAACTTATATCACAAAAAAAAATATTTCAATATTTCAAAAATATCAGGTCTTTAATTGTTTTAATACTGATGATTACGGCATACAGCTCATGAAAACCCAAAATGCCTGTCCCAAAAAATTGGCATATCATGAAAAGTTTCTCTAAACAAGGTATTAACCTAACCATCTGAATCAATGATGTAACTCTAAACACCTGCAAAAGATTCCTGAGGCTTTTAAAAACTCCCAGCCTTGTTCATTACTCAAAACTGCAATCGTGGGTAAGACTGCCGACCTGACTGCTGTCCAGAAGGCCATCATTGACACCCTCAAGCAAGAGGGCAAGACACAGAAAGAAATTGCTGAACGAATAGGCTGTTCCCAGAGTGCTGTATCAAGGCACCTCAGTGGGAAGTCTGTGGGAAGGGAAAAGTGTGGCAGAAAACGCTGCACAACGAGAAGAGGTGACCGGACACTGAGGAGGATTATGGAGAAGGGCCGATTCCAGACCTTGGGGGACCTGCGGAAGCAGTGGACTGAGTCTGGAGTAGAAACATCCAGAGCCACCGTGCACAGGCATGTGCAGGAAATGGGCTACAGGTGCCGCATTCCCCAGGTCAAGCCACTTTTGAACCAGAAACAGCGGCAGAAGCGCCTGACCTGGGCTACAGAGAAGCAGCACTGGACTGTTGCTCAGTGGTCCAAAGTACTTTTTTCAGATGAAAGCAAATTTTGCATGTCATTCGGAAATCAAGGTGCCAGAGTCTGGAGGAAGACTGGGGAGAAGGAAATGCCAAAATGCCAGAAGTCCAGTGTGAAGCACCCACAGTCAGTGATGGTCTGGGGTGCCATGTCAGCTGCTGGTGTTGGTCCACTGTGTTTTTATCAAGTGCAGGGTCAATGCAGCTAGCTATCAGGAGATTTTGGAGCACTTCATGCTTCCATCTGCTGAAAAGCTTTATGGAGATGAAGATTTCATTTTTCAGCACGACCTGGCACCTGCTCACAGTGCCAAAACCACTGGTAAATGGTTTACTGACCATGGTATTACTGTGCTCAATTGGCCTGCCAACTCTCTTGACCTGAACCCCATAGAGAACCTGTGGGATATTGTGAAGAGAAAGTTGAGAGACGCAAGACCCAACACTCTGGATGAGCTTAAGGCCGCTATCGAAGCATCCTGGGCCTCCATAACACCTCAGCAGTGCCACAGGCTGATTGCCTCCATGCCACGCCGCATTGAAGCAGTCATTCATGCAAAAGGATTCCCGACCAAGTATTGAGTGCATAACTGAACATGATTATTTGAAGGTTGGTGTTTTTTGTATTAAAAACACTTGTCTTTCATTGGTGGGATGAAATATGCTAATTTTTTAGGACAGGCATTTTGGGTTTTCATGAGCTGTATGCCATAATCATCAGTATTAAAACAATTAAAGACCTGAAATATTTCAGTTGGTGTGCAATGAATCTGAAATATATGAAAGTTTCATTTTTATCATTACATTATGGAAAATAAT